AAGAGACAATCCCAAACATCAAGCGGAGGAATCTCTATGTGTTGCATGGTTGTGGATGAAGTATGGGGGAGTTCAAGTTATGTACATATGTGTAAGTGGTTCCAGGCCATGACGCAAGAACTTCCTCACATCCGATCTTTGCCTGTAAATGATTTGTTTTTGATATTTTGATATTTTGACATCTCTTTTAAATATTACATATACCCAATTCGGTCATCACATTTTAAACCTTTTTCGCTATGTTCTATATTTGGGGATTAACAATAAAGAATATCTATAAAAAGGCATCTTCGAGAAGGCAACTAAAAAGACAACTAAAAAGACAATTTAGAAGGGAACAAAAAGAGTACCCAAAAAGAAGAGACAATCTTAAATTTAGTGGGTGACATCCTTTGAGATCAAATTGAAAGTTGACAGAGGGATTTCTAGGTTGTCCATACTGGGTGTTATAAGGAGGTTGGATCCAGTGCTAGCCGGTCAATATCATATCAAGAGGAATGTTTCGATTGATACAAAGGCAAACACTTGAAAACATTGAACAATAACATGACAGGAAATCAAGATGCAAAATGCAAAATGCAACATGCAACATGCAACATAAATCAAAATCGACTCTAAACAGCTCTCGCTTTCCCCTTACCCTTGCCTGACGGTGAAGCAGGCATTGGCCCCGGCGCGAGAGATGGAAATTCCTCCCACTCCTCTACACCCTCCTCGCGACTCTTGCCCTCGGCCAAGCTGAGCTGAATTGCAAACTCTAGATCATCCATCTCTTGCTGTCTACTGCCCTCGGCCTCCTCAGCTCTAGGCGATGGTTGTTGAGGCGGGTATACTCCCTTGGCATACTTGATAGGGATAGACAACGTCTGGCCAATACCTTGCTCGTCAAGCAAGCTAAGACGAATTGCCTCGGCCAGTTCGTCGTCATCATTATCGTCCGCAGCATCCTGATAGGGAGAGGAAGAGGACGAGATTTCGCCAAGGCCAACCGAACTAGGACCAGGGGTGTCGAATGAAGTGCTTGTGGCCGAGCTGGAGACTGCGGCGCTGTCCGTGAGTTTCGTCGCATTGGCAGAGCAGGCTTCCTCGCTCAGGAGTTGGGCATACAGCAAAAGCTGTTCTTCGTCAATGTCTGGCCCAAGAAGATCAATTCCGAAACGCGCGCTCAAATGTGCTCGTTCTTTCTCATCGGCAATCCTTTGACGCTCCATATCAAGGCGTTCATCTTCAATAAAGTCCTCAATTGCACCCCGACCGCTATTGTTGAAGCGTTGGCCTTCGCCAGCCCCGTTGCCGCCACGCATTAAGTGGCGGAGGCGGCGCTTGCTACTCTTATACTGATCAGCCTCGGAAGAACTGTAAGACCAGTATCGCAAGTGGGTTCCAAGTGAGACCATTCCACGCAGAACGGTTGGGTCTGTATCAAGGCATATTGCGCCTGTGGCATAGTAATTGTTTCCAACACCCAGAATAGATGCCTCGGCCTGCACAAGTCTACGGCGGGCCCGAGTTGAAAAACGGGAGTTGATCGTCCGGATTGGCTTGGTAGACGATGCTAGCGGATCCCAGGCTTGCACAAGGCCATCATTACCGCCATGAACAAGATACAACGATGTGATGGCCAAGGAAGACACCTGGGGCGAGTCTGTTTGAATGATGCGCAATGAGGAAATGGAATTGATCATCTCTGCAGACTTCGCCGCTGGGGCTCGGATATCCCAGACATACACCATCCCGGTGCGTGTTCCAACAGCTAGGTATCGAGCGCGTTGCCCAGGAACTTCTAGGCCCGACCGTGGCCGATCCATATGTGGTAAAATTGGGGAGGATGTTGCAGACGAAGTAGAGCTCCCGGACATAGCCAAAAGAGGATCCTCCTCAGCGGTGAGAGTCGCGAAAGTTGATGTGTCCAATGCGGTAGTGCTCACTTCCGTAGATTTGCGATCACCGAAAACAAAATCGGACAGACGCCATCCAAACTTGGTCTGATGTGAGCCCATCCGTCCGGAGGACAGAGAAGGGGGAAGACTGCCGGTGATGCTCGGACTTTGTATGTTCACTGGGCCACCGAAGAGTGATGGCGGGGCTTGTGGTGTATCCGATAAGGGCTCTGGCGTGGCCGATGAGCTGGAATCAGACTTAGAAGCAGTACGCATGAACCGCCGGAGCGATGCCTTTGTATCTTCGCCCGAGCCACGAGCAATTATAATGACAGACTCGCCTGCCCCGCACCCGTCATCGCCAGCAAAATCCACCTTAAGATCGCGTTGCATGTCCCAGCTTTCACAGACCTTGCGGAAGTGTTTGGGCTTGAAAGAGATAAAATTCTCAATCTCCTTCGTTTCAGCGGCAATCTGGTGCTCATTAAGCCCCATGGAATCGGAAGATGAGCGTGGACTGTAGCTGCCATCGACCAATTCACGATTAAAGGGGTCTGGGCGTGCCACACGTCTGCTCTCTTCCACCATCTCCCAATGAACACTTCTGCCAGTCTTCCAAGCCACTTCATCAAGCTGTTCGGTGTTAAGTTTAGCTGTGAGTGGAATCTCAGGTGCCCGAGGAAGTTCTGTCAGGTAGAATATTTCCCCTAGAGCATTGAGGGCAACAGCCCAAATTCGTTTTCCTGAATGGCGCTTGGGTGAATACTGATCATCCACGGCAATGCCAATAATAGGAACACCAGGTGACAGGACCCATCTAGCAGTCACTTGACCGGGTTCGTATCGCCTTTCGTAGGTCGGATGAGGGCCTATAGAATACGCCGTCAACACGCCCGAAGACGATCCAGACAGCATTCCTACCAGCCCCTGGGTCATCTTGAGGATGTGGGAGGATTTAGCAATCCACACTGAACAGACAGCATGTGTGATCATGTTCACGGCGGGAATGCCGAGTGGTGGGTGAGAACCCAAATCCGAAGCTCCCAAGAAACGACCGCGCTGCTCCGTCGCGGAGATGAAGTAGCTGCGGCCTTGGGGACAGCCTTCTCCATAGATCATGCCATATGGTTGACTGACGTCCATCAAGTTGGGCACACCGACCATATCACCCGATCCGAGGCCGTATTGCGCTTCACCAGGGAACATATCTGCAAAGTGGCGGAACATTTGGTGGTCGGAGACACCCCAGGTGCCGACTTTCACAGTCGATGGGTCACTGGCAGACGCAATCCCTTGCTCTGCGGCTCCATGGATGAAGAGAGGGTTCTTGTCAGGCCTGAAAGAAGCATGTATGTGACTGACCGGAAAGAGGAGCTGTGATGTATACGTAGCTATGGCACTACCATGGCGAGCACTCGCCGCGCGTACAGTTCCATGCTTCTTGGACGGGTTAAACTGGGCCGGTTTGCCACGGGCTAACGAGTGCATCAAGCGAGTGCGCAAGATGTATTCACTGCGCCAGGAGGCCAGGGCGGTCAGCCTTGCAAAGAATCGCCTGTCCGACTGTAGGTCTGCCGCATCGGAATTGGTACGTCGACCATCCTCAAGGGCATGGGGCCCTGGGAAGAATCGCGAGAAGGCGATTCTCCAAGCATGAGGAGTGGTAACCAGCGCATGGAATCGGCGGGATACCAACGTGATAGCGGACAAGGATTGAGGTGGTAGATGCGATAGGATATGAGTGAGAACCTCTGGAAATCACAGTTAGGAACAATTGCGCCGTAGGATTGCAGGACACCTACCATTTGGAAATGCGTCAAGAGATGTTTGCGACTGTCCGATAGAAGCCACCAAGCAAGACCCAGCAATCGCTGCTTCTCTGGTGGGAGTCCGAGCTTTCTCATGATGGCTCACTCGATCGGCCGAGGGCGGGGTATGGCGACCGTCGACCTCGTTCAAGGACGCATGAGATTTGTTTTGTGTCGACATGCTCGGGACGTCTGCAGAGTCTCTGATCTCCTCTCGCGAGAGGAAATCAGAGACTTGAGCGTCGTCGAGGTCATGTCCATGCTGGGTGGGACTGATAATGACTGGGTATGAGTCAACGGGGGTCGTATGTTGAGACACGGAAGTAGGCTCTGGTTGCATAAAAAGGTCTTGACGGAAAGATGAAGTGGTAGCGACTGAGCCAGCGGAAAAGCCTGGGTCAGTCGAGTCAAGAAATGCGACGTAAAGGGTTTATAGGAAAGTGATACGGCGTTGAAGAGAGAGAAATGGGGGAGAGCAAAGATGCCGAAGGCGAGACAAAGTGGCCATCCCGCACATTAAGCAGATGCGGTTATCGCGGACAACGATCACGGGGGTACTTTGGTCCTATTGGTTGTTAGGTTTCACCGCAGGATTTTCCGCCTTTCAACACAGTTCAATTGATCTGATGAGAATTGTCACTAGATTTTGTAGTAACCTTGGAAGTGAGTTATTTATACAGGAGTAGAATAGTTCGCCGCTAGTATGGCTTCTATACTCAACAATATAGGATTTGGATAAGATCCGTGAACTCTTTTCTAAGGTCTTTTCAGGTCCTTCTTTATGACAAACTTGGAATCTGTCATAAATTGAGAATAGGTGTAGAGCGTATTTCCTATAAATGGGCTTTGAATGTTTTTTCAAACACATTATATACGTGACTAGAAGCTCTTACTCAGTTAACTTGCAATTTTCTGCTGGCAATAAAAGCGAATAGGGCCGCTAGGTACTCGCACGCGTTGCAGATGCGGCATATGCGGCTCTGTTCTATTTTAGATACTACTACTCCGTAGGGCTATATATGATATGGCAAAAGAGGTAGTATTTGATAATAGTTGGGAAGCTACCTCTTATTAACCATTACCTTATTTTTTAAAAAAAAGAAAATTCCCACCTTTAATGCATTTATACTGAATGGCCGCTATTCAGAACGCGTTCAGCACGTGACAGCGCGACAGAAGGCAAATCAGCGAGCTCTGGAGTATCACCCATTGTCTCAGTACGAATCAGTTACGAATCAGATGTGATTATTCTGGAATGGCTCATTGATACACGTCATTTTTCCAGTAATCCCCCCCCTCGGTACCTCATCAACCCCAATCCTCCCGCATAAAGGCCAGTTCTGGATGAGACACGTGAGTTCGGTCAACCAAAATGCCTGGAGCAAATGGTAAGATGCTCTCAACACTGAATCTCTATTCAGCCTACTGATATATCTTTAGAGGCGGAAACAATTCGCATTCTAATCTCTACCGATAACCATGTCGGCTACAACGAGCGAGACCCGATCCGTGGGGACGACAGCTGGAAGAGCTTCCACGAAATAATGTGCCTGGCCAAGGAACGGGATGTCGATATGGTACTCCTGGCCGGAGACTTGTTCCATGAGAACAAGCCATCGCGAAAATCCATGTACCAGGTCATGCGGTCAATTCGAATGAACTGTTTCGGGGATAAGCCCTGTGAGCTAGAGATGCTCAGCGATGCAAGTGAGAACTTCCAGGGAGCGTTCAACCATGTCAACTATGAGGACCTGGATATGAATATCGCGATTCCTATCTTCTCTATCCACGGAAATCACGACGATCCCTCGGGAGAGGGCCATCTAGCCGCACTGGATCTATTGCAAGTGTCCGGCCTTCTCAACTATTATGGCCGGACTCCGGAATCAGACAACATTCAAATTAAGCCTGTCTTGTTACAGAAAGGCCGGACAAAGCTTGCGTTGTACGGAATGAGCAACGTTCGAGACGAGCGACTGTTCCGTACTTTTCGCGACGGCAAGGTTAAATTCTTCCAACCGTCTGTCCAGAAAAATGACTGGTTCAATTTGATGTCTGTGCATCAGAACCATCATGCTCACACAGAAACCAGTTACCTGCCGGAGAATTTTCTTCCCGAATTTCTCGATTTGGTCGTCTGGGGCCATGAACATGAGTGCTTGATTGATCCTAAGCTCAACCCAGAGACCAAATTCCATGTTATGCAACCAGGATCGTCTGTCGCAACGTCTTTGGTACCTGGAGAGGCCGTCGCAAAACAGGTCTCGATTTTAAGCGTAACTGGTCGAGAATTCAAAAACGAACCTATCCGATTAAAGACAGTACGACCGTTTGTGATGCGAGAAATTGTATTGTCCGAAGAAAAGGGAGCCCAAAAGCTTGCGCGCAAGGAGAATAATCGCACAGAAGTAACTCGGTTCCTCATGTCTATTGTCGAAGAGCTGATCGAAGAAGCCAACGCAGAATGGCTAGAGATGCAAGGCGACCGCATTGATGAGGACGATGATGACACACCAGAGGCTCCGCTTCCTCTCGTTCGCCTCCGCGTGGAGACTTCCACACCTGAAGGAGGCAGTTACGATTGTGAAAACCCACAGCGATTCTCCAACCGCTTCATTGGTAAAGTAGCTAACGTGAATGACGTGGTGCAATTCTACCGCAAGAAAAAAACCGCTTCTACGTCGCGCAAAGATGATAAATCTGTCGATGAGTCGGCTGTCTCTCATCTATCGGCCCTTGACACCGTGAAAGTCGAACAACTAGTGCGCGAGTTCCTCTCATCGCAGTCATTAAGCATTCTGCCACAGAATTCGTTTGGAGACGCTGTTGCCCAGTTCATTGACAAGGATGACAAGCATGCAATGGAGATGTTCGTCAATGAATCCCTCGAGAGCCAGGTCAAACACTTGTTGGCCTTGGATCGTGAAGAGGACGAAATGGATGATGAGGAGAAAGAAAAAAGCTCGCTAGTCAGTGCTATGGAAAAATATCGCGATCAGATGGAAACCATGTTTTCAAAGGGAGTGAAGAAGCGAACTCGCGGAAAGAAGCGCTTCAAGCCCAAGCCAGATGGTTGGGATTCCGAGTTTGATGGCGTGTGGGAAGACCAGCCCGGTGCCCTTATTCATTCCGAAAATGAAGGTGGGGACCCAGCAGAGGACGAAGCTGGAGAAGATGGGACAGTGCCCGCTGGTGGTCGTGCGGCAGCCTCTACTCGCGGTCGTGGTAGGGGTCGTGGTCGAGGTGGGACGTCCAGTTCACGAACCAACAAGTCCAAACCTACCCCGGAAACAAAGACTACGAAGGGCCGCAAAAAGCAAGCAGTTTCAGACGAAGAATCAGACGTGATTATGCTGGATGACGATGATGACGATGTTATAGCCAATGTCATTTCCGATGATGAGGACGATGATTCCCAGGCACTGTTCGTCAAGCAGCCTCGCTCTACTACCACCGCAAAGCCACGAAAATCTGCCCTTACGACAACGACGACGACTCGGCGCCTCGGTGGACGTGCTGCTGCCTCGCCAGCTCCGTCGTCGGTTACTGCTGGGGGAGTGCTTCTCGGCGAGCCCCTGCGCGCAGTAAGCCAGCTCAGTCTACGCTCAACTTCTCCGCTTCACAGGCCACCGCGCCTCAGTCATCACGACCTAGCCGCTCCACCCGTAACATGAGTGTTATCAGCGATGGTATTGATGACGATGATGATGACGACGACGACGCCTTTGAAGAAATGCCGACCACCTCGAGGCGTCGCAGGTGATTGGTGATTGACATCCATGGATGTTTATGCCTTTATGCATGTATGGAGTTATCGAAAACCACTTGGGTGTTGACATCAGCGTTGTTATCTTCAATTTACTTAATGATATCCTCAAATTATGACTCCCAACTATCAAATATATAATGATCAATAATAAAGATTAACAAAGGCACCCTTTCGGATGAAGTATACCAAGCACGCTAGCCTCAACACGCAGTTTCCCCTTACTACTCAGACCCAGGGGCTTCAATAACCCAATACCCGAACGAGATCTCTTTCAAATAAACAAAATGTGAACCTTACATATTTTCCTGTACTTGATCACAAAGAACCAGAGACTAGATCTCTCCTCGTTCCATCAACCCCGCATTCTCAGCCGAGGGACACACTCACCTCGGCCGTGCGATGCAAGCGATGTGAAGGAAAACAAAAGGGCAAAATAGGATCAATCATTTATTGCCTGATATTCTACTACCTCTGTGTACAGGGATACAAAACAGTATTTGATTAAAGCACAATGACATACAAGGGCCGTCCCATCCGCATTGCAGGTTAGTAGTATACCTGCATTCATGATGTACTCCAACTGACCTATCAGGTGCCTCGGGCTCTGCCTCAGACCGGCGTCAGGCTATCGCTGAATTTGCGCATCACCACCCAACCGATCCTATCGATGTGATCATTGCCGATTTCATGAGCGAGTTTAACATGGCCACTGCCGCGGGTCGGCGCGTGGACCAGGCAACCTCCCAAGAACCAACAGCTCCGGCCTACGAGCTCTCCTTTCTCGAAGCACTTGAGCCAGCTCTGGATGATTTAGCCAAGTATGGGATTAAGCTCGCGGTCAATGCTGGAGTGACCGACACAAAGGGCCTCTACGAGGTGGTGATGCGTATGGTTGAGGCAAAGAAGTTGGACTTGAAGGTCAGTCAGAGCCTTACTAAGAACTGATCAAAAGTTGCTGATTTGAATCCCTAGGTTGCGTGGGTTTCCGGGGATGAAGTGCTATCTACCGTCCAGAAGGGATTGACTTCCGGGTCTGAATTTCGCAACGTCTACACAGGCGAGCGATTGGCAGATTGGTCATTCGAGCCTATCTATGCGCAGTGTTATCTCGGTGGCCTCGGCATTGCGGCTGCACTCGCCGATGGTGCTGATATCGTATTATGTGGGCGGGTCTCGGATGCTTCACCTGTCATCGGAGCTGCTTACTGGTACCATGGCTGGCAGCGAGATGAGCTTGACAAGCTGGCGAATGCTTTTGTGGCAGGCCATCTGATTGAGTGCAGCAACTATGTCTGCGGTGGCAATTTTACAGGTTTCAAGGCCCTAGAGCACGTAGGTGGAGATGGCTGGACCAATATCGGATATCCCATCGCCGAGATCTCTGCCGAAGGTGACGTTGTGATCACCAAGCAAGCACATGCTACCGGTGGGGCCGTAACTGTTGATACGTGCACATCCCAACTGCTCTATGAGATACAAGGACCTTGGTACTTCAACTCCGATGTCACAGCGGTCCTCGATGGTATCCACTTCTCACAGCGTGGTGTCAATCATGTCGCTGTTCATGGGGTACGATCTGGCCCTCCTCCGCCTACCACTAAGGTTGGTATCACTGCGCGAGGCGGGTTCCAGGCAGAGGCATGGTGGTTTTTGACCGGTTTAGATATCGAAGCCAAAGCTCGCATGCTGGAGGCACAGATTCGCCAATTGTTGTCACCTTATTCGGACAAATATACATCGCTCAATTTTGATTTGTTAGGCTCTTCCCTCTCTGATCCACACAGCCAGAACCGTGCTACTGTGCCGCTGCGCATCGTCGTACAGGCACGAAATGCTGAGGACCTTGCACCAACACGGTTCCTGAAACCTATCACCGACAACATCATGCAGGGCTACCCTGGCGCTACATTTCACTTGGACATGCGCCAGGGATTCCCGCGTGCCATTTTTGAGTACTATGTCAGCTTGCTGCCACAATCCGCGGTCCAGCACCGCATTCACATGCCCTGGAAGCCGGTGGCATCCGCGCAGACTCTCGATATCTCACCTCCGGCAAACACTAGGACATATCCATCACGCCAACCCTCACAGCCCATCACTGACACTGACGGGCCCGTCGACCTTACCCACGACTTTGGGCCGACGACTCGTGGCCCTCTAGGCTGGATCGTTCATGCACGCTCTGGGGACAAAGGTGCCGACGCTAACTGTGGCTTCTGGGTGCGTCACCGTGACGAGTATCAATGGCTGCGGGCGTTGTTGTCTGTTGACAAGGCGCAAGAGCTGTTGGGAGATATTGGCCACGAGAACCAGAAGTTGGCAATTGAGCGCTTTGAGTTACCTAGTCTTCATGCGGTGCATTTCCTGTTTCGCAATCTACTAGACCGCGGTGTCGGTGTGACCACCACGGTCGATTTCCTGGGGAAGAATGTGGCGGAATATCTGCGGGCGCGGCATGTTGATCTCCCTGTGCGATTCTTGAATCGAGGAAAGCTATAGAACGGGGCTCACTACCCCGTTTTTCTCGGCCTTAGAGAATCACAACATTATTGTCCGATCGAGAAGTGGTATGATCTTAGAGGCTTCGAAAGTCATACATACTCCTTATAACATACCGTACCCGTCAAAAACATATGTACTGAAAAGCAGATATCGCAGTGCATAGTTTGTTGTTGAGAAAGCAAACCATGATGCTCTCTGCTATGATAAAGGAGTGTATATACCTACATAGGTAGTATCAGTCTATCAACCTTAGAAGGCTATACACGCCTTCTAAGACCCTTTCTTCCTCTCTTTCCCCCAGAATATACTGCAATTATCTATCTACTTCTTTTCGTTCTAACTTTAGACCCAACCCCTCCCGAACCCCTGTCCTCCACGTGTTGTCCCCGGTACCTCCGGGCTTATCCCGGCACTAAGACAAATGCGACATGGTGTCTGACTCAGTTGTGCTCGTAGGCTACTGAAAGCCTTGATTTATAATGTGACTCATTTAAAATGTGACTCAATTGTCTTTTGGAATAAGCTCATTGCAATCTACGGAGCACAACATACAGAGTAGAGTAGAAGGTAGCATTCAGGCAGGTGGGCACATATATATAATTGTTAATCGCCTCAAGTTTTCTGTTGTACAACTAGCAGCAATGTCTTCAGACCTGATCAATATCGCAAAGCTTTCCGACGGTGGGTCGTCGGAACCTCAAATCCAACATAGGCTCGACCTTTTGAACAAATGGAATATCCCCCTGGGCTCAAAGATCCTCGAGATTGGTTGCGGACAAGGAGATTTCACCTTGGTAGCGGCCTATACGGTGGGCGACCAGGGCCATGTCACAGGAATTGATCCGGCACCATTGGATTACGGTTAGTTTCATTTGAAGCAATGGCATAAGAGTCGGGCTGATAATCCCACCAGGCTCACCTATGACTCTGGGAGAAACACAAGAAAAGCTCAAGCAGAATCCCATCGGCGACCGAATGACATTCTATCAATCAACCCTTGAAGATTTCCTCAATTCAAGCGTTTCGGAGCAAGTTTATGACTATGCTATGTTTGTGCATTCGGTTTGGTACCTGCCATCTGCCGACGCGCTGCTGCCAATGCTGGCAGCTCTCCGCGGAAGAACGAAACATCTTCTCATTTCGGAGTACTCGATCGATGTCGGCGGCGATATCGCCGTTCTGCCACATCTGCTAGCAGCAATCTCGCAAGCTGAATTCAACTCTAGAAGCAATGCCTTAGATCGGAATGATAATGTTCAATCCATTATCACCCCACAGATGATTTGTGCGGTGGCGCAAAAGGCAGGGTGGGAGCTTCAGAAAGAAGACATTGTTGAGTCCGCCGAAGGACAAGAGGATGGAAGGTGGGAGGTTCATCGAGTCTTATCGGAAGAATATGCTCTCAGATCGGGGTCATCCGGGGATGCTAGTCGGCAAGGCTTTGCAAGTGCCTTGATCCAGGCTGTTGCAGAGAGCAAGCGGGCACTTGGACCGAGCCCAAAACCTAAGACATTGCCTACGTGGCTGGGCTCTTGGGTGTGAATATTGTGATAGGGATTAGCATGCCGCCGCTTTATCCTCGCCGATTGCTTTTATTTTCCGGAATAACAGTGGTGAATTTGATTAAACAGTCTGAAATATCGGTCTATTCACTCTCATTTATAACCATTCTCGCCTCTTTTCCAAAAATCTTCCGTATGCTATATCGGTAAATATAGTTTGATATTACTATTTTGAACCCATAGAACCCATGCCTAGATACACTATTGGTCATGTATTTCTGTCACATATAAATACCCTGGGTGTGAGGCCGTAGGTACATCAACCCACTTTCAGGTTCCTAATCCTATTTCTCTTTCCTCTTGTAAGCTGATTAAACGCGATCATGCCATGAAAGACAAGCCCGTAGCGATATTTGCCTTAAGGTCCTTGAGAACCACCTCGAGCAATTTAGTCTCATGTTCAGATATTTTGCCAATAGGCAAGGCTTTGGTAGCACCCGTCTTTCCAAGCTGGATCTTGACAGCGAAGTAGTCAACTCCAAGATCAGCAGCAATCTCCTTGCCTCCTGGAATTCCCGGCAGGTAGACAAAGGCTTCCTCGGTAATGGACTCTCCCCTTTTACCCGCAAGAAGAGCCTTGACGAAGCGGAAACCAGCGTAGGCCATGCAAGTCGTGGCGCTTCCAGCCCCCTGCTTGCTCTTGACGATTTCGTCGCCACCAAATTGAACACCTGTTGGTATGGTTGGTAAAGTAACTTTTGCCTTTCGGGGCATGGCAAACTTACGGTTAATCACAGTCGCTAGAGTTTCGTCGTCCAAGTTGACCGGGGGCTGAGCCTGACTGTACAGGGGAAGAATGGTAGCACCACTGTGACCACCAATGACCGGGATCTTGAAGTCCTTGGGATCAATATTGTCGCCCAAGGCGTGGGCAGCAAATGTAGAGGCACGAACAACATCCAAGGTCGTCACACCGAAGATATGCGTTGGATTAAAAACGCCGGCTTTCTTCAGTACCTCAGTGGCAACTGGCAGAGTCGAGTTGACCGGATTCGTAACAACACAACACATCGCTTGTGGACATGTGACCGCAATCTCAGTGAAGATGTCTCGAATAATGCCGGCGTTAGTCTAGATTGTAGTTAGCACTTGACTTCCCACGCATTTCTTTTACAGCACCACGACTGTTGGGGGGTAATATTCACCTTGAACAAATCTAAGTAATCATGGTCAGTAATTTACCTTCATCAAGCACTATATGAATACATTGCTTACCATCTCTAGTCATACCAGGCTTGCGAGCGATACCGGCGGTTACTACGACAACATCTGCGCCATTGAGGGCCTTCTTGAGACCAGAGTCCTCGGGAAGATAGCCACTGACCCTGGCCCTGGTGTCGATATGGTTCAAATCGGTGGCAATTCCGGGTACGTGGACAACATCATAGAGTGAGATCTCATCAAATAGATCACTCTTCCATTAGTCAGACACTTATCCTCGGGTGTGATAGCTTCTAAAGTGAATTTATCAGGGAGGACATACTGCTTTGCACAGGAGACTGAGTGGGGTGCCGATTTGACCAGCGGCACCGAGCAGAGCAATTTTGACCATTTTTAGGGCTGAGAGGGGGCGAGCGATAAATATGGATTTGCTTGACTCTTGAATGTAGACTATGTGGGTGGACTGGACTTGATGCAAATGAGGAGAACGAGACCTTTTATGAACAGCGCCGTTGATCTCCAACTTCCAAGTAGTCATTGCTACGGCTCGGTCTTGACACCCTCGGGATGAGCGTGCGCTTCAAGGTATCGGCTGATAGTTCAACCGCACAGCCCATTTTCATGTAGTCGCCCAGGGACAATCTGGCTCAAATGCTATCGGTTTCGACCCCTCATTCTTGCTTATATACACAGGTAACTTCAGTGCCCCTAGTATCTGCTGATATCTAGATAGTTTCTTATAATCCTGTGCATGATGGGTAAGAAGCCAAACCAGATTTGCCTCAAAACATGCTGGTGACTACCTAGTTAGTAATTATCCCGTAATAGATCATTGGATCAAAATGGGCAATTTGTCTTAAGCATAGCCTTATTCTAATTTAACTGCTGGGGTTTATAGTTAGTTATATCAGGAATTTGGTATCATCAAACGAGTAGAGCATGGCGCACTACAAGACATATCCCACTAATGACTGAGGCTTTCTGGAACTTCAGTAATTCTCAAGTCGTTCAGCAATACAAGATACCTTATTTTGATATAAATTTATTGTTTGCAGTTATTGCCATACTAAGAACCACTATCTCCATGCTTTAATTTGCCTTACTGTTGACCAGGGACTGGTGCTCCGGAACAGGCGACAAGAGCGGCTCGCCAACAATCGCACGTCGCACGTTCTCCATTGCCCATTTTTCCATCTTACCCAGTGTCTCCGTGGTATGAGTCCCCATGTGTGGAACCATTAGGGCACGCTCTTGCTTCATGAGCTTCTCATTGATTTCGGGCTCCCGCTCATAAACGTCCAAGCCCACGGCGGCAATATGGTTGCTTTCCAGCGCATCAGCCATGGCAGCCTCGTCGATGATGGCACCTCGTGCTGTGTTGATGAGAACAACACCAGGCTTCATCAGAGCAATCTCTGCTGTACCAATCAAGTGCTTCGTGTGGGCGTTCAGAGGTACATTAACACTGATGATGTCGCTCTCCGCAAGCAATTTCGTGAATGAGACATACTCAGCCCCAGCAGTCTGTTCAAGTGGAAGAGGATTACGGTTGTGGTAGACGGTCTTGAGACCGAAAGAATCACAGCGGTGTTTGATAGCACGGCCGATGCGCCCCATTCCAAGGATACCCAGGGTCTTACCCTGGGGGTCGTGGCCGAATTCAACCCCCTTCTTAAAATTCCCTGCGCGCAGAGAGAAGATAGAGGGATTTAGGTGTCGCAAGGCACCTAGCATGAGGAAGATGGCCAAATCGGCGGTCGCATCGGTGACAGGATCTGGAGCGTTGGTGACTATGATGCCCCTTTTGGCGCACGCACTTGTGTCGATCGGGTCATATCCTATATGATGACAAGTAAGTGGAAGACCTCCAAGTACGTAGGAGCTGTGCGTTTACATACCGGCACCATTATGGCATATATATTTACAGCTTGGCGGCAAACGCTCGATTAACTCAGCATCAAATTTGCCGGCTACCTGCAGTAGATACCGTGTCAACGTTCACCGTGATGTCATTCAGCCAGTGTCTCAAGAATAGAGGGACAAGACTGGTGAGAGATAGTGATTCAATGCTCACAGTGCCGCTAGCAGATGTCCGGTAAATAGCAAAGATATTCTTGTACTTGTCTGTGATATCCTTGAAAAACTCCTCCCTGCTTTTGCTCGTGATAACCTCCGTGTGCGCGACCTCTTGCAGCTTTTGGAAGAATGGTATGGCATGTTTCACGGGGTTGAAGAAGAGAACGAAGGGCTTAGGGAACGTCATTTTTTCTGATCTGACGTCGACGATGCGTGGCTGTTGCTATTTGGTGTCCAGGTCCTAACTCAATTTAATGGTTTTTATTGTATGTGGTTCTCTGACCTAAATACTGATTTTCCTGCAAATATTTCAAGGTAACAGATCAGAAATGGATATCCTTCAGCCTGAAACTCTGCCGCCAAAGTTAGAGTAACAGGTTGTGGCGAGGTAGAAGGCTTCGGCATATTTTTCTAGCGGTTTTTCACTCTTTTGGATCCACCTTGATGAAACTGAGTTTCTTGGTTTAGGCTATATCTTGTCTCGAGTCATCGCTGTATCCATCATTTACTTATTGCGTATCCCCGCGTCTACCCAGCTTCATATGATATAAAACTGGGAGTGGTGCTGTGGGTGTGTGGATTTAAAAATACAAAATTGTACGGAACTGGTATTCGCGGCTTCTTTTCGTCAATTTGTGTAAACCATGCCTGATTTTGGCGTTGCAAGGGAACATTTGAAGGGTTCCAGCGTTTAGCCTCCTAAAAAATAGACACTATATTCCGTACTATCGATACATTCAATGTTGTGTACGAGACCAATCAAGAAACTTTGGGGCCGGAGGCACTTTACCTTATATCTATGGATAATCCATGGATAATGCGGTGACTATGAAATATATTCGGCCCGGCCTAAGCCAGACTAACTTCTTCATCGACTTGACCTCATGCAAAAGGATATTCCATATCACTCAGCTTCAGGATGTCGGAGACTAAACCAGCGGCGGCTAATGTCAAAACTCGATTTCTGGTTTTTTCCGACACACGGGCTTGATACTTTACCAGACTTTGTCTCACGCCAATATGCGGACGCCGCAATACACTGCGGAGATCTCACTACAGAATCACAAATTGACGAGTATAAAGCCTCGATTCGCTTCTTACGAGCTATCAATTCCCCTCTTAAACTTGTGATCGCCGGCAACTATGACTTTACTATGGACATTCCGATTTTCCAGAGAAAAGCGGCAGAAGCCCAGCCCTTGGACCCTCAACTAATTCGGAAATTTTATGGCAACTACGGAGAAGTTCGCGAGTTATTTGGTGACGAGAAAGAAACGGGTATCACTTTCCTAGATGAAGGTATCCACTCGTTTCGCTTACAAAATCGTGCTCTATTGAATGTTTACGCTAGCCCATACACCCCGTCGTGTGGCGATTGGGGCTTTCAGTATCATCTGGATCTCGGGCATGACTTTAAAATTGGGAATGTCGATATTGTGATGACACATGGGCCGCCAAAGGGTATCATGGACCGCACCCACTCTGGCCAGCGTGCCGGCTGCCAACATCTTTTCAAGGTTATAGCTCGATCCCAAGATCGACCCTTGATGCATTGTTTTGGCCATATCCATGAAGGGTGGGGTGGCAAGCTTGTACGGTGGCGCGAGAAAATTAGCTAAGAGCCTTCTCACTTAACTGATATCGATAACGAACAGTGTGTTCTCATATCCACACTGTCCATGATCAAACGTAAAGGAGATCCTACAGGTTGTTTTCGCACAAGCCATTGCTCTGAGGATCCACATCCGCTGAAACGAGGTTCTGAGACACTTTTTATCAACGCCGCCATGGAGAGCTCCCAGGACCTTTTGGTACAACCGCCGTGGGTTGTCGATATCGAGCTTCCAGCAGCAGTCTGAGAAGTCAGACAAGGTTTACCTTTCGGTCTTCGCATTTAATGGTTCTGATAGATCACAATAGTATTGCATCAAGGAATACGAAGCAACACCTCCTGCGAGTTGTGTTCATGGACGAGATGAAACGACTGGAACGAAGAGGCAGTGTAGTTCAACATCATTTATATCCAAACAGAATTCGATATTGAGCCTAGGAAATAAAGTTGGTTGTTGATTGCTGTGTTGCCATTCAAAGCGAGTTCGATTGCAATCACACGAGATTGGACTGGAATTGACTGTCGGAATTTCAAATGGTTTTATCGGCAGTCTCTTCTATTCAACTCTTCTCCTCCCTTCTTTCCCGTTCATTATCTTTTTATAGCGGTACAGCTCTATGGCCCCCTGACCCCTGTCACATCTCTAAGAAATTAAGATGATTATCCAAAGTTAAAAACCATCTCACATTACTATATACACTGTGCGACATGCGATGTATGATGTACAATATCAACAACGCGTGAGACCCCATGGGGAGTGATGGGGTATCTCGATTCAAGCCATGCATCATAACATATGGTCTACAGTGGATCCCAAAAGAGTGAAATCATCACTAATACTAGATGGAAGATTGTATTGAATCCTATTTCTTTGAAAAAGGCAATAAGCAAGAATGGGAAATCACAGGTGGCTTAGGGGGATGGAGCAGTAGCCATCTCGACATGAGCTTCAGCGAAAGCATCAACGCAAGATGCAAAAGGTTTCCAAAGAACAGTAGTCAAAGATTCCCCCGCATTTACCTATTTCCATGACAATTTCTCAGATTGAAAGTCGCTCCACCTTGTTCTTAATTGACTCGATCAGTGGAGCCAGGTCACTAGCATCGTTCGAGGTAATGGTGGCCGCGATAATCGACCGGGCTGAACCGCATGCTCGACCAATCGTGGTCTTATTAGGCAAAAACACATATGGGACGTTCTTGTCTTCGCAAATCAATGGAATATGCATCACTATCGCGAGAGGAACAGTGTCGGCAGCGATGACGACGATCTCGGACGTGCCTCGGGTCACGGACTTCGTGACTGGGCAAATATTAGCTCTATGATTAGCTCGAAGATATTATGAGCAGACATACCTTCATTTGCACCTTTCTTGAGCTGGTGGTAATGCCTGGCTTGTTGCAACAAGTCCAAAAGTTCTTGTGTCAACATAGGATCCGCGTTCGGCCACGCTGGGCATAGCGTTAGATTAGAGAATCAAAATGACAAATTTGACACAGACTTACCGACACATTCTTCAGGGGATTGCATCTTTTTTCTTGCGAAGGGCAGTGAACAAGCTTCCCTCTGAATGGGGAATGGGAGACAGAAAGAGTAATATTGTTGGAGAGATCAAGGTAAAGAACAGTGTTGAGCAAGTGAGTTGGAAGATAAGTTGGTAGAGCACCCGTGAAAGATATGAGACTGCAAAGAGAAGAGATGAAAAGGTGAGAAACAAGAAGGAGAGGTCCAGATCCCATGAGCACTCTCCTTCCAACGAAAGAGAGGGTCACTGCAGTTTCCCCTTCTCTGTTAGGTGTGACCCATATCATATACAGATGTATCTTATACATAAGTATGTGTTATTGAGAGACTAGTAATAGGAACTATCTCCAAAAGTTATAACAACTATGGATGTAGGAATAGTAGTATTATTTATTGATTTAAACTCCAAATCCGGAATGAGCATTCCTTTAAACATGATAATAACGCTATGCAAACAAGGCTCTGGATCCAACCTTGGAAGTTTCTATAAAGTGACATTGGCCAATGGTAGCTGAAGGCAAGAGAAGACACAGAAGGACTCCTGAAACAAATATTCACATTTTATCCACTCACAAGAGGATCGGGCGTGAGATTGGTGGCTGTTATAGCAGCACCATCTGGCGTGACCGTGCCCTCGGAAGGACTGTCAATCTCCTTGGACGTATTCTTCTCTTCGTTCTCGCTCTTGCCTGGAGGCTTTGTACCCTTTTCACGCATCGCTCCGCTTTCAAATGCTTCTTCGGGGAGAGGACGAACATAAGGCTGGCAGATCCACCAAGGCCTTCCATATTCCGCAATCACTGCTTTGGATCCCTTCAAACTATCGTCTGGTTGTGCTTCAAACTTCTCGGGAGAGGCCTCGTACTCCTGAAGTCCACCTTTGATGGCCTCCTCGAGGAGAACCAGGGTGTGCTCAAAAGCGGCCATGTCGCCTGGTTTCGATGTAGCAAGAGCATCTCGAACGTTGGTATGAGTTGCAACCATTGGCCGCAAGACTTGGAAAAGGTGACCCTGCATGAAACCGAGGCTGGCAGAGTGACACTTCTTTCCCTTCTCGGCCTTGCTCCGCTTTTGCTTCTTCTTAAGCGGGCCATCCTGGTGGTCGTTATCTTCGGCATCATTGGTTTCTGCAAACTCATCGACTGGATCGGATGGGAGATAAAGCGGCTTCCTTTCTGGAACCGGCTGTTCGAGAACGTATTTATAGATAATATCAAGGTATCGTCGCAGGACGGCGTCGATTCGGTAGCCGCCCTTTCCATCCCGACCACGCCAGTATTCTCTTCCTTCGGTGCCAGCTGGAGGCGGCTTACTGAATATGGATGGATCTGATAAATTTCCCTCTGCGCTCATCACAGCGTCGGCGCCGGTCGCCTCGAGACAGGTTTCGATGTCACCGTAGTTAAGAATATTGCCATTCGCAAAAATCACCGTATCCGCAGGTAGATTATCTCGTAGATAGCGGATGTAGCTCCAGTCTGCCACACCAGTGTTGTGACCCTTCTGTTCCCGTCTGCGGCCATGCACAGTGATGATGCTGGCCCCGGCAGAGAGAATCATTTTAGCGTACTCTAGGGTCTTCTCCTTGGTCTCCTGGATACGGAATTTCACCGTCACAGGGATTGAGAGCTCGGTGTGCAACCTATGCACAAGTTTGTAGATCAAGTCCCAGTCTTCTTGGAGGAAAGCCCCGTAGTGTCCCTTTTTCGCGATACCCTGTGGGCAGCCAAGGTTCAAGTCCACAGCATCGCAGTGAGGTGCGACATGGCGGGCAGCCTCCAAGAACTCATCTGGGTTATTTGTGCAAAATTGGACGAAAAGTGGCCGGTCAATTGCGGGATTTCCATCCAGAAACAATTCATCCTTGCCTTCGACGGTTTTGCGAGTAGGTTGGAAATGTTTGGCCCGGACATTCTCTTGTTCGCCAAATAGACGTGCGTGGAACATTGGGGTGTATGCGAGTAAAGGCTTCGGGTCGTTTGGTGGCATGAAGGATCGAGTGAGCATGCGCCACGCCTTTGGAAAACATTAACGCTGGTCCACAGATGTTACTAATTGAAAGGCAAACTTACGAATTCAGATCTGTCAACCATTGGGGCAACGACATATTTTGGGCTGCCAATACTTTCATAAAACTTTCTTCCAAAGAGCTTCTCCTTGACTTGAGGCGCAGCCGCGGAGGTCTGCTCAAGGCTCGGTGGGCTTGTTTCGGAGGCCATTCTTGAGAGATAGGACTGGGAAAAGTGTCGGGAAAGTCGGCCCAGCAGAGGGCTGGGAGGCTTGAAGATACCTATGTTGACGCCTGGAAGAAAAGAAGGTGGTTATAGGTCAACGATCGCCTCCAGTCGCATCACAATGGAGAAACAACTTTTGCGAAAAGCATCGTTATCTCACCCGGAATTACTATTCTCCGGCTTATCTTATCGTCGCGGGGATCTCGAGATTGGAAAGTTGGAAGCTGCAAACGCGTTGAGCTCGTGGTGCTACTTGAGAGATTTACCTTTGCATCTGAGGTTTCTAAGGACACCTTGTCATATCCCCTTTCTTATACACTTTAAGAGCTGCTTGATCACCCTCAATTGCCCAGGTGACATTTGCCAAGTTGGATTCGCGTGTGATTACATAATCTGATATGAATGGAGACCAGTTAAACCAGTAAGTCCTGGAGTCCTGCAATGAGAATCGGGGCTCGAAAAAAAATCTTATGCGTATATGCAATGCTGTGTGAGAAGGGATATTGTAAAGCTAATTTGTTGAGGTCCGGAATTTGATATAGTTCTTGAACATTCACTACTATCATCTCTCAACTGCCAACAATGGACGCGTCAACAGGACCAGGAAGTAAGTCCTCGGTCCACACAATATTTTGTCTACTCAATTCTAACTGCGTGTTAGCCCCTTTAAATCTCTGCTTGTCTGATCATGGGCTATATGCTGCCCACGTGAGTGGCAAGGGCCTAGTTGTTCACTCAAATGTAGCCTCGGAAAACAAGGAGGTACAGATCGCCAGGATCAAAGAGATTCCACTCAAATCACTCAAATACTTCAACGTGGAAAGTCCTCCTGGTTCATCAGATGACGAGGTCGTCTTCCGGCGGCGGCTCCTGTCCGCAAGCGACAGCCGAATCTCGGTCTGGCAGCTCACACCGCTTGAAATATTCGCCGAGATTGAAAGCATTGAGCCGGGTGCATTGGCCATTGATTTTGGCGCCGATGAGAATGAAGTTCTTGTGTTTCATGCGTGGAACACTAAACTGAGTGTCCACTCATTAGAGACCGGGCGCAGCTCAGTCATTAAAACGCCAAAGTTTGCCCATCACCTCGGCTTTGGTTATCGGCCAAAAACCAGGCAACTCGCCATCCTGCTCAAACCAGAGACATCGGACCTACTGACAGTCCACGAGCCCCGGTCTTACGAGCTCATCAACAGGACCGTGCTTCCAACCATTGACGCACAAGGGTTGAAATGGAGCCCGGATGGGAAATGGATTGCCATCTGGGATGTCGCTAGTGCAGGCACAAAGGTTTTAGTATTTACGGCGGACGGTCAACTTTTCAGGACGTATTCTGGACCATCTGGAGTAGATGATTCCTTCGACCTCGGAGTGAAACAAATTGAATGGAGCCCTGCTCCCGAGCAGGGCACTTCCGAAATATTGGCTGTGGGAAAGGTCAATGGGAATGTTGACTTGCTCCGAACCCGCACTGTGGGTTGTTTTCTCA